ATAATTATTTTTATTTATTTATTTTTTTTAGTCGCACCATTGATAAATTAGCCAAATAGGCTGCACTCTAGAGCCCTGGGTTACATAATGATGTAAAAAAAAAACAACAAGATTTAGGTGCATGAGTTTGGATTTATGGTCAAATGTTTATACAGACTCAAAAATATACACAAAGGCCCACTGATATTTGCTTATCAAGTTGCACCTTGACCAGACAATTTGGATCATATTTTGATCGTATGCCATCATCACACTTGTGGCATATTTTCTTACTTTTTTTTGGTAATTAATTAATCTTCCTACTGTTTCACTTGTTGTTTGGCAGCATGATGCAATGCCAAGAGCTAAGTAACTGTGTTTCATTCATAACATGTCAAATTGTTGAATGACAATAAAACTGAGTCTGATATTTGACCACTCTGCTTGGAAGTGTTGGGAGAGTTAATTTAAACTGGCTGGTTTCCTGACACGGACTCAGCTTTTGTGCTTCATTCATAAATTTTCAATAGGATTAAGATTGGGGGTATATAAAAGCTGCTCCAGAAATGTAATGTCAATGTGTTTTATCCATTCCATAACCAGATTTGATGTGTTTTTCATTGTCTCTAGAGCCCTGTAAGACATCTGACTATCTTGTATTTTTGTACACTTGTTTGATGATCTTAGATTCTGCAGCTGTTTAGAAATGGCTTCAAGTTATCTTTCTAACTTGTGTAAATGTACAATTCTCCTTAGATCTTCACTGATTTCCTTGAACTTTCACATTGGTCTGAGTATTGGTCACTTCAGTGAGTGCTGTCAAACAGATCATTTTAATGCTGACAATGACAAACAAACTACCAGTTGTAGTCAGTCATGATGGCAGCCTTTGCCTTGTCAAGTTAAAACACATCGTAGAACCTTCAGCACCACTTATGAACACAATTAAGTGAGTGTATGTTTATATTTGAGCCCGTATGTATACATGCAATCCAACTTGAATTCACACTTGGTCACCCAATTGTCATTTGTTTAAAGTAATTAAAGATGTATGCTGTACAATCATTCCACTTCAAAGGAATCATTAAAAGGCCAAATATTACCATGCCATTCATACCATGGAAATTTTAGTGTATTTTATTTTGATAGACTACTAAAGAAACTTGCCTTTAAGCAACAATACTATAACTCATTTTGCTTTATTATTGGACTATGTCATTAAAATTCCAAACATTATTCACTGCTGGCACACCCTAACAGTTTCCCTTTTGCTATCTATAGGGTTTGAACTTCCTCATACCCGTACTTGACAGAATTCGCTATGTTCAAAGTCTCAAAGAAATTGTGATTGATGTCCCAGAGCAGTCTGCAGTATCCCTAGGTAAGTAAGACATTGTTTATTTCTCATTATTCACAGGAGGACGAGCAGGCTTATTTATTTATTTATTTATTAAACAGAATTGATTGTTTTCTCCATATTGTTATACTTTCTTTGAACTTGCAGATAATGTAACACTGCAGATTGATGGCGTGCTTTACTTAAGGATACTAGACCCTTTAAAGGTATGCTGGCAACAATTAGAACAGATCCAAATATCTTCTTGCTTTTTTTTTTTTAAATTCACTTTATACTTTTGTTTGTTCACAGGCCAGCTACGGTGTTGAGGATCCAGAGTATGCTGTCACACAGCTGGCACAGACCACCATGCGTTCAGAACTGGGCAAACTCACATTGGACAAAGTGTTCCGAGTAAAGACAAACTGCTGTTTCATCTCATATTTTTTCTCTGTTCATGAAGGAACAAGTTGTATTTTATCTTTGCATTTGTTTTTAAGGAAAGGGAGTCTCTGAATTCCAACATCGTCCATTCCATCAACCAAGCTTCAGACGAGTGGGGAATCCGTTGCCTTCGTTACGAAATCAAAGATATACACGTTCCACCTCGTGTCAAAGAGTCCATGCAGATGCAGGTGAGAGAAACAAAAGAGCTTTTTAAAGCATAATTTTTAGTTTTTAATTCACTGCACGATCTTATGGTACAAATGGGTATTACATGAAAGTACATCTTAGCCATCATTCAAGTACAGTTTATAATCTTCAACAGAAAAGAGACCTTTTGTAGTCAAATAAGTCAAATAATTTTCTTATATTGTGTTGGTAAGTTTGGTTAAGTTTAAGAGGTTTTACACTGATTCTTAAAAACTAGAGTTCATAGTACCTTAAATAAATTATAGGTCTTTTCAGACAAGGTCAGAAACATTTTTTGCATATAGCAGTAGATATTTCAACTGTGGGGACAAGACTAAATCACTTAAATTTACTGAACAGGACACTTTATTCACCCCATGTAGGTGGAAGCTGAGCGTAAAAAGAGAGCCACAGTGCTGGAGTCTGAGGGGACAAGAGAAGCAGCCATTAATGTCGCTGAGGGTCGTAAACAAGCACAGATCTTAGCCTCGGAGGGTGAAAAAGCAGAACGGATCAATAAAGCGGCTGGTAAGTGCATTTAGTTGGTTTATCACTCCAGTCTCCACAAATTATCTCACATCTTTTTGCTTTTAGAGGCTAATATGCTCCCTGTTACCTACTACTCTGCTCCGTCCAGGTGAGGCTCAAGCAGTTCTAGCCAAAGCTGAGGCCAAAGCCAAGGCCATCCGTATGTTGTCAGATGCTTTGACAGAGCAGGTAAATGTTCTTTTCCATTTTCACAGTCTGACTTACAAAAGCTTTTCATTGGTTAATGCTTTTTTTTCCTCTTAAATTCAGAATGGAAATGCTGCCGCTTCGCTAAGTGTAGCTGAGCAGTACGTGTCTGCTTTCTCAAACCTTGCTAAAGAGTCAAACACCATCCTTCTGCCCTCTAACACTGGGGACATTAGTGGAATGGTTTCACAGGTATGTCTGCTATCCAATAGTCCCAACTATTGGATTTATATGTTAACAGCTTCTAAATTATTAAGTTTACATGCCCCTAATGATGCTTATCTTGTCTTCTTGCCACTCAGGCTATGACTATTTATAGCACGCTGGCAAAGCCAAGCATGAGGGTAACTCCAGAGGTTTTGGAGGAGAACCGTGAAGAGGCTGCGAACCCATCGGGATCACCTCAAGAAAAAAGAATTAATGAATGAACTCAAACTAATAAATGACACAGAACCAGAAGAAGCAGTTTATGTTGAAGGTCCACGGTTTGTTCTCACACAGACCTTAAAATGACAGGACAAAAGGGAAAAATTGCCAACTTTAAAAATCTTCCGAAGCCTTGTCCTGGAGCCTGGGGGAAAGTTACACCTTTTGTATGGGGAGTCGTAATCTTCACTGAGTGTGGTTTAATTAGTGTATGTTTGAGAAAGTAACACCAGCCTCCAGCCAAATACACAGATACCAGAGTCTATCCAGCTGACGTGGATGTCAGCACAGACACGGATGCAAAAATAAGTCTCCCCTGAGCAATTTTATATTTTGACCTTGAGCCCTTTGACCTCTCTACCTGAGGTTTTTGTAGATTATACCATCATGTTTTCTCACTTTGCAGCCTATTTTCCATGTTTTCCCAAATAGCTATATTCAGGTTCTCTGAGATTATTAATAATAATCAAAGCCAGCTCAGGTGAAAATATATACATAGGTATTATTTACAGAAATGGGTGACAATTCTCCCTCTTTGTGTTGATGGGACCACCGACTTTAAGTTGCTGCATGTAATGCCTGGCTGGATTCCTCACAATGTTTCTAAAAGTGTATTAATTTCACAGTTTACTACGTTTTTTGAAACATTACCCTATCGATAATAAAGCTATATCCCCATGAAAAGGTTACATTAGAATTTCCTTTAAAAAAAAACCCCTACTTTTTGAAATGATTAAGAGAGAATTTTTTTTGTCAAAGTCTAGGTAATGTCCCGTGTCAGCTCGATGATCAAAATATTCCTCTCCTCCGAGTATTTGTATTCATATCTGATGTCTTACCGGATATATTTATTAAATTTCAAGGTTCACTGCAAAGACTTGAAGTTTGTTTTGTTATTTCTGTTTTCTACAAAATAATGGAATATGAACTGGGCAACCGGGCATGTTAAGTCTGAGAAGATTTGAAAAGATGTGGTTAGATGAAATATTTGGACAGAAATGTTCAAAATATACAAACATGTTGAAAACTATCAAATGGCTATTAAAATAAAAACACACCCATGCTGATTTAACAAAGTCTGCAAAAATAAATACGTTTGCCTATCTTGTTACCTGCTAAAAAGATAGGCAAACATGAAAAGCGC